CTTCATTCAAAAATTTCAAAAACAACCATACTTTGGCTATTGAATGATCATGTTCAAATTTCTTTTTTAAATTTGAGTCTTTCAATTTGTTATTTTGTTTGTTTAGGGACAAACAACAATTCTAATTTGTCATTAACCCTATTACATCATTTTCTTAATTATTTTTTTTTTGTTTTATTTGCCCACTAGTGTCTAAATTGAGTCATTTTAGTCATTTTTATGTAATTTATTACTTATATATATATATATATATATATATATTAATAGTATTATACCACAATCTTATGCTATTTTGTTAATTATGTAGTTTTTAAGGTTTCTGGTCAATCCTATAGCAGTCCTACAAGATTCTTGGGGTACTGCAACAGTCTTATAGAAGCAAGGAGTGAGCCGCATCCTTTCTTTTGGGCCGAAACTATGGACTGGAATGATGGAGCTGCAGATTTCAGGCTTAGAATTTAGGCTAGCTTACCTTATAAGCCTTCTTTTGTACTTTTAACCTATCTTCTAATATAAGCCTTAACCTCCTTATAAATAGGAGTTATTTCTTAGCAAAACTTACAACTTAACCTTTGGGTTTAACATTTATCTCTAGTATTTTCCTCTAGCTTTCGGCTTCTTTGCTTAATCAAAAACCAAATGTCAAGTGTTATATTGTTCTCAAGCATTAATTCAAGTTCAAGTAGAAGTTTCACCTCTTCCTTTTTTACTTGCAATATTCAAAAGCTTTTTAATTTTAGCTACAAAGTGGAATTAATCATTATTGTTGCAATACATTGGATTTCATCTTTTATGGGTCACGATTAATTTCCTCAGAAAAAAATTTGTTTTCCAAGTGTTTCCAAGTACTCTCTCACTTATTAGTAACGAAACTTGTTTTGCAAGTTTCGTAACTTAAAGTGCAAGTTTCCTTATTTTATTATTTGCTAGTACTTCATTTTACTTCATGTCATCTCTTTTAGAGTAATTTTAATTTCTAGTATTTACTTTTCTGCATTTTAATTTTTAGTATTTAATTAATAGTATTTTAATTTCCACTACTTTAATTTTCAGTATTTTAATTATCGCGCTTTACTTTTTTGCAGTTTACTTTTCTGCAATTTACTTTCCAGCAATTTAATTTCAGTCATTTATATTTCTGCATTTTAATTTCCAGTACTTAAATTTTCAATATTTTAATTTCCAGTAATTTAATTTCTGCAATTTACTTTCTCGCATCAGTTATTTATTTTTCAGTTTTTACATCATTCGCAAGAAGAAACCGAGCGATGATGGGCTAAACGCTTTAGTTTGGGGTGTAAGAGAAAATTAAGACCAAAACCGATGTAAAAGTACAGAGGTGTCTTATTAGCATTATAGTCTAACTATTTATTTCATATGATTAATATTTCATTGAAGATGACATTAAAATTACTTGACAACTAATTTTATGTATGAAAATACATTAACTTTTAGTATTAAGATAAATAAGAAAACTTGAGTTAATAGGATAAGGCTATAAAGAGCTTTAGTATTTGACGCATACTATACTCTTACGGTATAGGATGATAACACTCTGTTGTGTTAGGGTTCACAACGTCTAACATAAAAGATATTGCATCGATAGTACGTTGATCTGTGTGTACTCTTGAGAGGCCGTCTGACCCGATAGTTGATATTATGATAGTTTTATAACATAATCCTATGGTACTATAAAATTGTGGCAGGAGTGCTATGTCATCTTTCTACTGGATCACCTGTTTTGTGTCTTAATCTACCTTTGCATCATGTGTTTTTTTGTCCTACTGATTTTTTTTAGTTGCTAACAAAACCTTCCAATTTTAGATAAAACAAATCCCTCGAAATCGTCATCTGAAATTAGTTTTTATATACTAGACTTTTGAATAACTTCACAAAGTTTTCTCTGTGTGAACGATATCTGATACTTATACCGTTATTACTTGTTAGAAGACGATAGTAGTTTAAGGTATATATTTGCACTGAGTTCTATCTTTGTGTTGAAATCTAAGGTTGCATAAATCGAACAAGCAACCGACGACATCTTTTCATGCCTTTTCTTCTCCATTCATCTCTCCCCAACGATGCCCCTCACCAAACTTTCGACACTCCTACATCACTGAGAACAAAACCCATCTCTGTGGACTCTCTCGACTCATTTTCTCCCCTTATATCTCTCGATTTCGACACCCTACATCACAGAGAACAAAACCCTAATCGGACCCATCAACATCTTTGGCAAGATCTGTTGCAAACTAATCAACTTTGATGTCCTTCATCATTTTCTCCCCTAATATATCTCTCGGTTAGGTTTAATTGAACTCTTCAACATTTTGAGTTTAACAAGGCTGTGTTTGGCAAGATCTACAACAGATTGTTGTTAGAGCATATCTTATCAACAGAGCATATCCATTGATGGATCAATGGATATGTTGCGTTTAGGGTTATTTTGATCAATGGAGCAAATCTGATCAACGGAGCATGTTGAAGCTTACCTGATCAATGGAGCATATATGTTAATGGATTAATGCAAATGTTGAAGCTTATATGATCAATGGAACATATCTATTATTTGATTTTGATTGAATTGGTGTAAATAAAAGTAGGTTATTATTGATTTAAAACAAATTGGATTGAAGATTAATTTTTAGATAATGAGAGATGTATACCATTTTATACTCAGGGGTAAAACAATCATTTCTACCATTCACACTGTTAATTCAGGAAGAAAAAGTAAACAACGACTTTTATCCGGACAGACAAATTTATCCATACAAGACTTAATAGAAAATTTTATAAACTGCCCCTAAGTATTTACCTATTTAGGATTTTAGTTGTTAAGTTTCATTTTTATGTTTATTTAAGTCTTATGCCACATACATAATTATTATTTATCCCTCAAATTATATATCAAGAAACCATTCACACCTTACAAAAATAACGTGTTATAACACGTCATAACTCGTTACAATGGAACCAAGCCTTAGAATAAAACCACTAAGGGTTAATGTGGTGGTGAACCCACGCCTCTTAGAACTATGGAAAATACGAACCAAAGGAAAAGATAGACGATTTCTCACAGGTGGTGATTGAAAAATGGTACTGGGAACAAAAACCATTGTTTAGAGATTTTTTATTAAATTTTCAGTTTACTCCCTCAGTTTCAAAATATTTCAGAACACTCTTCTATTTTTAAAATTTCATATTAGAACCATTTAAGAGATAAAATATTAAACACTTGCTATAAGTTAGTCTCAAACCCAACACCTCTTAGAAGCGACACCTTTACCAAAGTTACAACAACCAACTCACCCACTTTAGATTGTTGATATAATTTTGGCTTCCAAATATTTAAGGGCACAGTCATAATTAAGTAGGTGTACTCCTTCGATATTTCATTTTTTTCCTCTTACGATAATTGAATGAACGGGTGCACGGGACCCTGCTCAACTCTTAATAGGTCCGCCCCTGCTTGCTAGATAGTATTTGACTAATCTATATTAAGATCTTTTATCGGCTAGATGATAAATCCAGTTCACTTTGTTGTCTATCTAACTTCACTTCAACTAGTTTTCGATTTTGCAGAAGAAATTTTATTTATCCAGATAATAGATTACAAAATATGACTTAAAGATATTACAATGAAAATCTTGTTTAAAAGAATGACTAGTGTTCGAATTACAAGGTATATTTCAAGTATATACCATAATTAGATATTTCTCAATTTTGGATCCTATACAAATTGGATCATCTGCCATTTTGGACCATCTTGTATTCTGGATAGTAGACACAAATTTGACAATCTAAAACATTATAAGTGTTTGACTAGATGTTATTATGTGTTATCCTTAAATCCAAATAGTTGACTCCAAAACATAACATCTAATATGGTGGCGTTTGTTTTTAAGAGTTGTTGAAGTCTGAAGTCTTATTTCATTTCTGATTAATAAGAGGTGGTGCTAAAGTCTGAAATATGAATCAATAAGATTGTTTGTTTTCGTAAACTAATAAACGTCTGAATTACGAAATCTGAATAAATAGTTTTTTTTTTTTGTAAGATCAGTTGCAAACATTTTGCAAAATTCTCTTGATTTTCATAAAATTTTCATTGCAGAAATTCATCTCAACAATTGCTTAACAGATGGAACACAATAAAAACATTTTGGATACCTTACAGACTTCTGATGCTATCGAGAATACCGCAGGTGAGTTTCTTTGTGGAAAGATCGATATAGATTGTCGATAGAAGTTCTTGTTTCACATTAATCTTTTAAGCTAACCTATACGTACAAAAATTATATATATATATGTATGTGTGTGTGTATGTAAAGAGAGAGGGAGAGAGAGAGAAGATGTGGGCATGCATTTCACATAGGTGATGAAATGACGGTGGTGTCCCTAGTAGAGAAAGAAGCAATAGCCAAAGAGAATCAAAGAAATAGGGAAAATAAAAAGAATTAAGATATTAATTTACCTCTTATTTATTCAGACTATCACTACAAGAGGAAAGAGCTTTAGTAAAGAAATCTTCAAAGAAACTTTTAGAAGTGTATCTAAAGCTACATTATAGAAAATGATTTAAATGATAAAAATGAGAAATGTAACTAAAAGTTGGACAACATTTAAAGAAGGATTTATAGGCTAATTATACGCTATAAGAAATCTCGTTAAAAGTTTTAGAGAGGTTTTTATATAAACAAAATGTCTTTAAAGAGTTTCATCAATTTTTAGAAACACTTTCTTAAGTTTCTCTAAAGATTAAGAAAAAATTTAAATTTTTTAAAATTAAATAAAAATATTTAGTTACCTTTTAAGAGTGTATTTAAAGATTAAAAAAAAAAATTTAAACTTTTTAAAATTAAATAAAAATATTTAGTTACCCTTTTACTAAAAGATTTATATTAAAAATAAATCAAAATTAAATAAATAATATTTCTTCCTCATCGCTTCCTCTCGTTCCTAAACGTGAGACTATGTGAAGTGAAATCACCAGAAGCCCAGTTAAGAAATTTCCTTCCACGAAATCAAATTGGTATCATTGATATCGCTTCCTCTCGTTCTAATTGTTTCGCTGTAAGAATTGTCGCTCAATCACTCGTCTATCATTGAATTGATCTTCGCTCAATCACTCGTCAATCACAGTCTACTCTTCTATTGATCGAATCAATCGTCTATCATCGAATTGGTTTCTCTTCTCTGCATCGATTCCTCGAACAACAGGTACGTCTATTTAGCGATTCTTCAATAAATAACATAATATGAATCTGCTAGGGTTCTTGTTGATTCATGTTTTACTGATTAATTATAATCTATTTAGCTATCAATTATGTTCTGCTACAATAACATATTTGTGTGTGTTTGAACAATAGAAGCTGAATGGTTACGGATTAGAGGTATCAATTATGTAAGAATCAAACAAACCAAAGTAAGGCCGGATAATCCTTGAACAGGCACTGGTTCCAAGCTGTCCATATTTTTAATAGATCTGCTTCTATGCATGGTTACGGATTTGCTTCTTTTTGCCTTTAACTATGGTGCCCTTAACATGTTCAAGAGAAGTTGTCGTGTTGTTTTTCCAAAAGCCTAGTTGCTTTCTAAAGCCACCACACATGCCTCGCAAACTTTCTGTTCATTTAATACAGAAGGTGTACTTGAACAAAATTCGGAACAGTTGAGGAACTTTCTGAAAAGATCAGGACAATCAATCCTGATTTTACCCTGAACCTTTCTACATTCACAGTGTAGGCGATTCACATGTATTTTAACAATAGCAGATCCTGTTGGGCATTGAATAACCAGTCAGCAACACTTGTCCTTCTATAAATGTTGGCAAACATATAAAACTAACATGTAAATTAATAGAGCCCCCTCTCACACGCTGTCATTCATGAAAACTACCCACCTGTCCATCTACAGATAATCAGCCTCTATAAATGTGGGCAAGCATATAAAACTAACTTGTAAATAGTCCCCTCTCACACACTGTCATTCATGAAAATTACCCACCTGTCCATCTACAGGTAATCAGCCAGTGGTGGAAACACTGTTTGCACAAGGCTGCTAACATATAATCTTTGGAGTTTAGAAATTAACAAATAAAGATGATAAATGATAGTGAGTGAAGCTCATAAAAGAATCTGTATAGCATATAAACTACCAGATTTTGGATGGTGAAGTGACAGCAAGCGTCCCATATCATCTCCAGTAGCAGAAGGATCTGCATTAATCGTGTTTACCTGACACAATGTTAGATATAGAATCAACTTCAACTGGTATGCAGCCAAAAAGATAAATGCAAGATTTCCTTTTAAGATCAGTCCTTACCCACGAGGGATAATATAATTAGAACACAGGCTCCCAACTCAACAGCTCTTCGGCTGCCCATTTTGGTGACAGCAATTGTGTGCACATTTTCAGTGAGAGTGGTTGAACCTGGTCCTGTACCCCAGAGGCCAGCCATGATGCTAGACAGACCTTCAAGGTAATTCTGTGTAACAAAAAAATAACAGTACATTTAACAAAAAAATAAGATGAAATCCTCCCTACCAAAAGGTAATTCTGCTGTTGGATGGTTACACCTTAATGATACACAGCTACATTTTTTTTTCTTTTCGTTTTTTAGCTTCTGTTTTCCCCCCTTCCGCTTTCAATTTTCCAGGCTATCGACTAATCTCTTTTTCCCATATACAAACGCATGAATATCAATCTTTCATTTTCTTTTTCGATTTTCATTGGGTTAAGCTTTTTATTTTTTGTGTTTTATTGTGTCAAAAAGGAACTGCAATTAAACTTTTCAGACCTGGTGCATATGGTTATGGATTGTACCTTGTAGACCTGTTGCTGTTGAGTTTTTGTTCCATTTTTCTTTCCTCTGGTCTCAAACATATATCTCATATAAACTAGTTCAATCTAATAATTTCTTGGAGGTGAACTTGCTGAATTTGAAGTGGAGGATAAGGTGGATGTTAATTGATTTATTTGTAACTGCACATCAACCTATGTGATATGGTTTTCTGATCTGTATTGAAATCTTGCTTCTGGCCACTTAGATACTTATCATTTAGTGCTGTTGGTTCTAGAGATGGTTTGCTGGATTTGATAACAATAATATATTGCAGATATGGAACAATTTATGATGCATGTTCTAGTTTATAGTTGTTCTTTTGGCCTAATTGGATAGGGAGGTATAATGTGGTTTATAGTTGTTTTTTTGACGTGGGGTTAAAAGGGTCATCCAATCAGTATACTATTAGGAGGGTTGATCAGGTTTTGGAGTCAAAGCAGGTCCGTCAGGTCAGAAACCCGGCACTGCTTCCAAGTTGAATTCTACATCGCTAGAGCCTAGGAAACAACTTGGTAGAAATGATGGGAGTGGTTCCGCCCGGCCTTCCGCGCCAAAAACATTACCATTAAAGGCACCGATGGTTAGGAAAGAGAAGGTGATTTCTGCATCAGTTGCTACAGGTTCCATGCCCGGTTTGCACAAGCTACTTCACTCTAAGCCGGCACCATCTGTTCATAAAAAACCTTATGATGATGATGATGATAGGGACATGGAGGCTGGATTTGATGACATTATGATGGAGGAGAAACGCAGGTCAGTTTCGTTGCAGAACTCATTGGATAATTTGGATTTAATTCTCTTGTGGTGATCTTGTTGTATGGATCCATGTTTTTACACCCATGTGTGGTTCTACATGGACCTTATAAATCTGATTAATTTTTATTTGGTGCATGCCTAAGCTTCTATATCTATCTAAGCTCATTTTATCTGCTAACAAAATGGCTGTATCCCCACTGTCCCACATTTATCCTCATATAGCATGTACACATAGCCATGAATGAAATTCTTTATATATATATATATGTGTGTGTTATATATATATGTGTGTGTGTGTGTGTCTGTGTCTTGACACCCAATCATCTGTTTTTATTATCATGCAACTGCTGCTATTGTTAATTTCCATTACAATTACGCGAGGAAAAACTTAAAAGGGGTTTGACGATTCTTCAGAATGGAACAAAAGGGCACTTGGTAGTAACCATCAATTTGACGTTGATGTTTGTTTAACTTTCAAAAAACATTTTATATCCTGAAACTCGAGTAATTCCCAAATCACATGTCGACATTAGTTTTTCTTAGGACCCATATGCAAAGAACACATGATGGCCAAATTAAGCCAATTGAACCTAAGGGTGCGTTTGGTTTGCATGAATGTTTCTGAGAGATTTGGATTTGTAGGAGGAATTTGGATTCCATGGGATTTGGATTGGATTGGATTGGATTTAAAATTCATTCCTTTGTTTGGTTTGCAGGATTTGGCAAGCAACAGAGATGAACCCAAAAATCCATTAATCCAAAAATCCAAACATATGCGAGTACGAATTTAGAACACAAAAATGATTTGGACTTCAATTTGATGCACAAATTGCATCAGATCGAGACCACAATCAATGAACATGGAAAAAATAAAAACGAAACCCAGAAAAACCCTAGAAAGGATATGAGTCATCGTCGATATGGAAATCCGACAGAGATGTTTGCGTGGTAAGGAAGTGGAGGCAGAGACGACAGTTGAAGACTTGAAGCAAAAGGATGGTTGACCCGATTAGGGCACAGCTTCGCAAGGGGACGGGAAGGGAAGCAGGAAGCCATGGGAGCACTCGACAGGAAGCGATGGATTTCAAATCCTGCCCATTTGCAAAGGATTTCCAAATCCCGCGAGTAATGGATTTTAATGAAATCCCAGGATTTCAAATCCTGACAATTTGGCAAACCAAACACAGGATTGAAATGGATTTCAAATCCAAATCCCCCCAATTCCATTCCAATCCCGCAAACCAAACGCACCCTAAGTGTATTTTGCCAATTAAAAAAGATGCAACATTTGAAACCTACTGATTTGAAACATATTTTTATCTTTGTTATTGCTAAAATCATATTTTGTTTATGTAGGCTATGTCAAGGAAAAATTCTGAGAATAGGGGGAAGCGAAAGTATGTTGCTTTAAATGGTACAGTGAGAACTCCAGATCACCATTTTCGAAATAGAGGATTGTCCGACAATCCTCTTATCGGTGAGATAGAGACTTTTCGAAAGTTGCATTATAGAGAAAAAGAGGGTTGGGTTAACGACTATTCTCGCACTTCATATGTAAGTTACATTTAACGAACTCTTTTGCATGTATTCATCGTTTTATAAATCACTAAGATTTATATATATGATTTTTATGTCCATAGGAAAACATGTTAGAGATTAAGCGGCAAACTGAATCAACAGAAAATCCCTCGGGTGATCTAGAGATTATGCAACAAGTCTTAGGTAAAAGACTTGCATATATTCGGGGATGGTCTAGGGTCCCGAGCACTAGGAGTGAATTTACAAGTTCGCAACATAGCACCGGTGCGTCAGGTCGATTGAGCCACACCGAGATGTCTCATAGACTTGCTTCAACCGAGTTCGAGTTTGCTTCAACCAAATCCAAGCTCTTTCTTATGAGGGATGAAGTCGCTGAATTGCGACAAATGGTGAGTTCAATTGTATCCGGCCGGTCAGTTCCAAGTTTTTCATCTTCATTAACTGTTCAAGACCAATGTTCGGAGACTCAAGATCGTTAAACATGCTATGATGATTATGGATGTTTTTTGTTGATAAATTTAGACGATATATAAACTAGTTGAATATTTAATTTGGATGGTTTTTATAATAAGAAATTATATAACAAATATATACAAAATTGTTTTGAGGTTATTATTAATTTGTTCCTGATTAATTTAATATTATTTATTAGTTCAATTTTATTATTATAATATATATATATATATATATATATATATAACTGAATTTATGGATGAAATAAATATATAATATATTTTTTAGAGAAGGAATGATTTTTTATAAGTGTAACTAAAGATAATTTTTAGAGAAGATTTTGAGTTTGTGTATATATATTTATTATAATATATATTTTAGAGAAAGAATTAATTTTTTAAAAGTGTAACTAAAGACAATTTTTAGAGAAGATGTTGAGTTTATGTATCTAAATATCATATTTAGAGAAGATTTCGTAACCGTAACTAATTAGAACTTTTAGAAAAGGTTTTTTAAAAGTGTCACTAAAGCCAATATCTTTAAGAGAAGCTTTTCCATTATCTTATCTAAAAGTATCTTTTAGTAACTCTTACAAACCGTCACAAATACTTGATAAGTGTCACTAATATATATACTTTTAGAGAAGTTTTGAATAAAAAGTTGACTAATCTTTAGAGAAGTTTTAAAAGTGTATCTAAAGTCTCAATTAAGCGTCTCTAAAGGCTAACAAAAACACACCATCTGAAAACCCTCTCTAAAACCTTCACCTACCGTCACACTGAAAAGCTCTATGACAAAATTGAAAAGCTTATCTAAAGGCTTTAGAGAAGCTTTTAAGACTTTTAAGTACAAAACAATACCTTCTTTGAAGGTCATTTTTCTTGTAGTGTATATTAAGTGATAAGAGGCTCTGAAAATAATTAAAAAAACAATTAGTCTGAATTATAAAACATTTGAACAAATCAAACATGAATGGTAATTAATAGCTGAAAATAAAAAAAACAAACAAGGCAATATATTTAACATTTCAAGTTCTAAATCATGTGGTTGTGATTATTGGTTGATTTTGAACCATAAACAAATGGGTTATTGGTATCACATGTTTGCATAAAGATCGGAAAATGCATATCATTTGATTTATTTAACAATTCAAGTCATGAATCATATGGGTTGTGGTCATTTGGTGATACTGAATTATGTACAAAGGGGTTATTTGAGATTTTGCCCAGCTTATGGTTGTTCATGTGATTTACTTGAATATTTTAGACATATGTGTGCATAATTACTTGGAAGTAAATGTCATTGGATTTATTCGACATTTCAAGTTATAAATCATGAAAATTGTGATTTTTGTTGCTTTCGGTCCATATACATGAGGGTCATTTGTTGTTGAATAAGTGATAAGTTTTGATGTTCTCATTTAGAATCTAGAAGAGTAAGAATCTAGTCGAATATGGTCTTGAGGTGAAACTCGAAGGAGTTGCATACTTAAGTCATTGACCATTATAGTGAAACTCAACTAGAGAACGAGTAGACACTAATATCATGTAGGATTTTGATGTAGAACTCAAAAGAGTAGTATATTAAAGCCATTAGTCTGTGAGGTGAAACTCGATAACATTGATACATGACTTGTTTTTGTGCTACTGCCACGTTTGAACAAGTCTCCCCCATCATCACAAGATGAAATAAATGTTTGGTTTACCATGTTAATTTTTTTTTTTGAAAAAACACTTTAATTTTATATAATATCATGTTTTTCAAGTGAAGGAAATTGTTATTTAAATACTATTCTTTTTATTCTTATTATCAAAACTTGCGATATAAAATGCTTGAATTTCACTAGTCTTTCTTGTCGATATGTGCGTCAGGTCTTAATTTGGGGGGGGGGGGTACTAGTGACTCTAAGAAGGAGGTGAGTCCTAGTTAGAATCACACGAAGGACTTAGCATTTTTGGGACATGATACGTACCTTGGAGATAACAACTTTGTGATTGGTTTTAGTAACACGCATTCAACCTAGTTCCTGTAAGGTTTCGACTCGAAAGTTGTTAATTTTAAGCCCTGGGTTGCCAAAGATTTTATTTTAGTTGCTCTTTTCAAGATATTAAGGGTGTTATTATGCTCTTTACTAGTATATATAGTGGATTTTTTAAGAGAGAATCAGAATGGTTTTGCTCACGCAATCCTCACCACTCTGTGTGTAAAGTAAGACAATGAAAAAGAAGGATATAGGATACAACTAATGTCGATAAGGAAGGGAAGGAAGGAGCTCCTGCCATGTGTCTTCAAATCTATTAAGAAGATTTTAGCATGTGTTATGAGCTTTGTGGTCCATTTGGCTATGGATCTATTTTGGTAAAGTCTAATAACCAACTGATAGAATATACCTAGTGATAGATCAAAAACACTCGTCTCAAAAAGCATGCATTTTGAGAACTCATTTGAACATCCTTTAGAGAAGTCCCTTTGTCATAAACAGCTTCATTATGATCCCTCATATCTTTATCTTAAGCGCTTTATAAAGTTAATCAAGTCTTCAAAAGTCATCAGATCTCATTGCTATGTGGATTGGCCATGTCTTCATAATAATGCTGGTCCTTAGCCAACGTCTTCAACTTTTTATTCTTTGTTTGCCTTATGAACACACTTTGAAGAGCAAAGTTCTTTCGAATTTTATGCAGAAAGTTACAACAGACCCCTAAAATATTCCAAGTATAAATGCAATTTGTCATCAACCAAATCAATCAAATTGGGCTTAATGTGAACAGTGAAAATAGGCAATGACAAACATACCGTTCTACATACCATAAGATTTCTCAATGAAAAGGAGAAGGTTAGATGAAAGTTGGTGAACGGAGACTTGGCCGATAGGTCTTCTAAAATTGGCTTGTTTTGACCGGTCTTCAATTGGAGAGATGATTTGCTGAACCGTTTTTACATCGTTTATTTACTTTGGCTTGTTTTCAATTCGCCGAAGATTTTAGGCTTCTAACTGGATGAATCAGAAAATACAATCTCAAGTCACAGATTGGCTTAATCCTATTCAACGGAACTTGCATCGATTACAATCTCATTTGTTGAGCTCGAGTGTTAAATGTTTTAGAAATACAGAAGAACCTATTCCATCAAGTGTAAGATCCGATAGGTGTCATCAGATTGATCTCAATCACCAAATCAAATAAACGAGACCAACAATAATCAAACTGGTTATCATCCTACTCTCCTAATGGGAAGACACATTAAAAATATTTTAATTAAATTTTTATTAAAAATATTGTAGAAAGTGCCACCAATCCGATGGCTTTATGAAAATAATGGAGGAAAGTGGGCCAAAATATTGTCTTATTTGGTAGTCCCACCTAGATATGGCCAAACGTAACCGGCCCGGCCCATAACTGACGGAGGCCCGGAATCGAGACCGGCTCAAGATCGTAACCGACCGGGACCGGTAGTAACCGGTTATAGACCGACGGTTACGAACCGGTTGCTGTTTTTAGGATTTTCTTGGACCGGAACCGGTTACGAAACCGGTTATGGGCCCGGCCCGGTCAACGAAAAAAGTCAAAAGTCAAACTAGCCGTTTTAAAGTCAAAAAGTCAAACTAGCCGTTTTATTCAGTCAAACTAGCCGTTTTATGACCGTTTTTTCCATCTTCCTAGCTACCAAAACATGTATAAATAGAGATGTGAGTTCCTTAGTTAGTTACCAATTCATCTCATCTTCAAAAAAGCAAAAAAACGCTATCAATTCTCGGTTTTTCGCTTCATTTTTTGAATTCGTTACGTATTAATTTCTCGTTTCCACTTCACAATTCTCGTTATTTCTCTCTTTTACTTACGATTTACAAATTGGCCGGTGAACAACCCTCAAACGAACAAATTGCCCAAGTTCTCGCTGAACACGGACGAAAGTCCGAGATTTGGAATCATTACAACTTGGTAGTTCTCACGACCGGGAAACGAAAGGCACAATGCAAAATGTGTCAAACTCTCCTTACGGCGGAAGGAAATTCTACGTTAAGGAGGCACACCGAAAAAACGTGCCCGGGGTTGAGGTCGGGGGGTGATTCGAGCCAACCGATACTTGACACACAAGGTCAAATATGGAACTACGATGCCGATTTAAACCGACAAATGACTACACAATGTGTCATTCAAGTCGGTTTGCCTTTTGGACACTTCGACAACCCTCACGTTATGAAGATGATTCAAAAGACGCTACAACCACGATACAAGCCGGTAAGTCGTCAAACCCTTAGACGTGATGCTATAAAAATGTGGACAATTGCCAAAGACGAAATGCAACAAATGTTTTCTTCTTTGCCTAACAATATTTCTTTAACGTGTGATGTATGGAGCGCACCATACGGATTGCCGGTTTCTTATATATGCATAACGACACATTGGGTTGACCCTAACACATGGCAATTATTCAAACGTGTAATCACGTTTGAACCGTTCGGTGCGCCACATTCGGGTGCACGTCAATATTCGATTATTAAAAAAAACTTTGTATTTTATAATTTAACCGCGAAAATAATTAGTATTTCGTTTGATAACGCTAGTAATAACAATGCTTGTGTTGAAAAATTAAAATGTCATTTGACACCTATTTTAGACGGAAAATTATTTCATACACGTTGTTGTGCCCATATTATAAATTTAGCCGTTCAAGACGGTTTAAATACTTGTAAACCCGTAATAGATAAGTTTAGACTTATGTTGCGGCGAATTTTCACTAAAGGTAAAAAAATGCATGCGGCCTATAGAAGGTATTGTCAAGACGTCGGTTTTAGAGCTTTGGGACCGAACCACGATATGCCCGTTCGTTGGAACTCGACATATTTTATGATCGAAAATTTAGTATAACAAAAAAATTATATTTTTTCTTTTTATAAAAACCATTATCCTCAAAACACTATTGGAATTTTCGATCGGGCCGTGATTGAAAGATTGTACGATATTTTAGGGGATTTTAAAAATGCGAAAACACTTTTATCGGGAATATATTATCCAACAAGCCCTTTAGTTTTAAACCAAATCTATATTTTGGCAAGTAAAATTGCCTAATACGAAGACC